CTCTCTCTCTCTCTCTCTCTCTCTCTCTCTCTCTCTCCTTTCTTTTCCTTCCCTTTCTCTTTCACGTTCTTTCTTTCTAACATACTCTATCCCTCATTCCAAGAGTGAACCCATACTCAGTCATCTATTCTTTGCAGGTTGAAGGAGAGGAGCTTGAGGAAGCAGTATTACAGGAGCACCTCACCAACCTGACTATGGTCAGCGAGACACTGTCCGAAAATAATTCAATCGCGCATTTAATTGATTCCCTCCAAATAGTAAGTTTCCATAGATGAATTTTAATCAGTAAATGAATACAGTTGTAGAAATAGACAATGTGAAGCCTGTTCTACAGACTGGTGCAAAATTTAATAGGAAAAGTACCATGATTGATTCAAAGATAAGTGTATTGCAGCCTGAATTGAACTAGACCTCTGTTTTATGATACTCTTTGAGACCAAATGTGGAAATCAGTCTATTAATCCTTTGAAGAGATATTGTCCTATAACCAACTTTTTTGCACCTGAATCTGTTGCAGCTGTTGAAAAATGATTGAGATTATGTTTCATTTACATCTGTTACTAGTGTGGTTAGTTTTGTCACATTTCTAAAATTAGTTAGGGTACCAGTGTTTGTGTTTTCAACATCACTGTATCTGTTGATGAAAGTAATTCCAGATTGAACTTAATCATGAAATTCAATTGTCAGGCTTACCTATGACATAAAATTAATAGCCCTAATTCTGCTTTGAGTAAGTGAAAGGAGTTAGCTAAAATGATTTGTTATGCTGAGAGAAGTCACAATCTAAAATACAATTCTCATAGATGGTAGATGGTATATTTATTAAAATTTTGAGATATATGAACAGAATATACATCTTTATTTGCATTCTTTCAGGTTCATTCTTATACTTCAATAATCACCAATCAGTTCAGTCAGTGTGCTGCTGTTACAGCAATCAACCATGCAACTGAAGCAATCGTCATAAAACTGAAGCAGTCTGCTTTGGATTCTTTGCTCTCCACCATAGGCTTTAGAAATGAAGAACCCTTTGTCATGACTTCCTCCCTGGAAGAGCACGCTATGTATGGGAATAATGCAAACGTGCTTCTCCTCTATATGCTATCTGACCTTCTGTCCTCTCGAATGTTACAGCTGAGTTCTGTTAGTCCCATGAGCCCCCTCAGCCCTAACCACCCGCCCCCTCTAACTTCTTCCAGCTCGATGCAGTCCCCATTGGCCACGGCTGTTACCTCCGCCCCAATCCTCCAAGACAGCCTAGGCCTAACTCACGCTAAAGTTGGAGAAATAAAGACTCATGAAATGGGTGGAATGAATATTGAGCATATATTGCAAATGACGGAGGCAATTGAGACAGGATCACTCTTAAATACAACAGATGGAATGACACCAATGTCTGTGGGTGCCTCTGCTGTGGGTTCCAATGCAGTACCTTCTGCTCTTTCTTTGGGGCTATCCAATCTCTCCCTCCTGGTGTCAGAAAGCACAGAAAATGGGAAAGATGATGCAGAATCTTTATCAGACAAAAAGGAGGTCTCATCCTCTTATGTGGATGCTGCCAAAAAGCCAGCCAAGCCCACCCCTCCTCCTGAGAATTCCTCTAAGCTAACCATTGCCAGTGCTCTCCCCCCCATAACAAAGCCAAGTAAATTCCCGCACTGCTGGATGGTGCTGTCAATCAATGGGGTGACTGCTGGACGCATTATCTTTGAGTTGCGGCCTGATAAGGCCCCTAGGATGTGCGACAACTTCATTGCACTTTGCACAGGCAAGAATGGGTATGGCTACAAGGGTACACACTTCTTCAGGAGTGGGGAGGGATTTCTGGCAGGTGGGGATGTGGAGAATGATGACGGTAGTGGTGGGTACTCAGCCTTTGACAAGAAAACCTTTGAGGCTGACCTGTGCCCCCTCAAGGATGAGGTGGGCATGGTGCGCTTTAAGGGCATTGGCACCACAGATGCTGGCCGTGGCATGATTGGCTCACAGTTCATGATCTGGTGCGGTGAGCGTGAGTTCAAGAAATTTGCCTACAGTCTGGTCTTTGGCAAGGTGGTGGATGGTTTGGATGTGGCCAAGAAGGCTGCTGCCATCAATGTCCACCGTGTGTCTGTTAAGGTGGAGGATTGTGGTGCAAGAGTCTAAATGCTTTCAGTTCCCTGTGTTTTCCATCAGTGGTAAATTGGTTTGTCTTGTTCACTATTCAACCCAAGAAAAAAAAAAAAATATTTAGAGGAAATACAGGTCCAAAAGACACAAAACTTAGAGTTTCCTCCAAATGTGCCTTACGATGTGCCTTTTTATTTTTGTGGCATTACATGTTTCCAATTTCCCTTTTCCAAATACAAAATGAGTATAGACAATTTCAAAGGAGGAATAATTGCCAGTTATTGGAAAACATGTTCACTTGTTACAGATATAACAGGTGCATTCGGAAGGTAGATATATTTTACAAATTCTGTAGAACCAATGAAAAAAATGGGAGGAAAATTATATTATTTTTATTTTTCAAATCAAAATGAATAGGCAAAGCCAAAATATTTGAAGAGTATACTAAAATTACATTAAGCAGTACTTTTACAATAATTTTATATTGTTATTAGTAGTGGCAGTAACAATATTGATATACTATGTTAATATTATTAATATTGATAGTAATAATATCAATATTAGTAATATTATTGTCATTATCATTATTATTAAAAATCTTGTTATTGAAATAACTCCTACCACTTAAACTGTAATGATTATCACTTGTATTATTATTATCATCATTAACATTGTTATCATTGTAATATTATTATTATTATGGTTATGATTAATATTATTATTATTATTATTATTATTATTGTTATTATTATTACTATTATTATAATTATTATTGTAATAATTATTATTATCATAATAACTGTAATTATTGTTATTATTATTATTATCATTATTATTGTATGATTATTATTGCGCTTGTTACTGTTATTATTACTACTAGCATTATTGTTATTATTATTATTGTTATGATAATCTTCATCATGAGTTTGTTCATTTTTATTATTGATATTGTTATAATCAATGAGATTACTATTACATTTAATGATCATTGATATTACATTTAGATTTTTTCATTATTATGTCTCATTTCCATTATTATTGTTCATTATTTGATTGTCATTTTTTACTGTTATCTTTATCATCATCATTATTATTAGGACTTGAATAATAATGATCATGGTAGTACATGATTGGTTTTTGCTTAGTTTATTATTGTTATTTTATTTAATTTTTTTTCATTTGTTTTTTTCCCCCTCAATAAGAAAGTATTTCAGTCGCGTTGTATTCTATGGGAATGTGAACGTATGTGTGTTGAATGGATAACAAATCGTCGTCTTAATTTCATGCTCAAGTTTTCGTGATTGTTATTTCACCATGATCAGTAGAATGGTAAGTGCTTCTTCATTCAACGAGTCAGTATTTCGTCATTGGAGCCAGCACCTCCAAGCTTTCAGGAGGAAGCAAGTTGTCTTTGTGGTCCAAGTTGTATAGGGAAAGGGGAATTATCATTGTTTTCTTGTGTGGGTGTGTGGGTGCGCATTTTAAAAATTGATTATTTGTCTTTATTTTTTCATTTACTTCTCTGATTATTGTGAATTATTTACAAATTAAGAGTATTGATACAATAGTGAATTTCCAGTTGACTTCTTTCTTTCCTTCTTTCTCTCCCTCTTTTTTTTTTTTTTTTTTTTTTTTTTTTATTTATTATTATTTTTTTTTTCTCTCTCTCTCTCTCTCTCTCTCTCTCTTTCTCATCTTTCTTCCTTTTTTCTTTCTCTTTTCTTTTGCAAGGGTCATTGAGGTATAGGGTTTCCTGGCAGTCAGACAGACCCTTAAATTTTTAAAAAGTAAAATAATGATTAAAAAAAATGAAAATAAAATAAAAAATATAAAATGGAATTATCTCCTGGATGTAGGAGATTTAGACACATGTACAAAGTTAGTAATTATGTTGATATCATGGACCACTCTGTATTTTTTTCTTTTAGTATTTTATTGTTATTCTGAATCTTTATTACAGTTATGATTATTAACACTCATCTTCCTATTTCCAAACTTGAATTATGATCTTTGACATATGTTCTAGGTGCCTCTCAGAGCATAACAAGGGGAATTTACTTTCTGGTCATAATACTAACTTATGTTTTTGACTTTTATTATTATTATTATTTTTTTATTATTATTATTATTATTATTATTATTAATACCACCTTTTTACAATATTCCTCATATCTTTTGTGTACACAAAAAACAAGTATGTGAAAGTGTTAGTTTAAGAGTGGAATGGTTTATGCTTAATGACGCTAAACCTACACCACATGCGTCCAATTACCTCTATAGATTCTATGAGTGTGAATAGTGTTTGTGATCTGGATGTAGCCAATATATATATATAGAAAAAAAGGGATAGTAACTGCCTTGGAAGGGGCAATATTACCATGTATTTTGGTACTTGTTATGAAGAGGCAATAATCTGCTCAAAAGCTTTGTTTAACTTTCAGAGCACATAATCGTCGTATATGAGGAACACAAATTTAGTCCGATTGGTAAATTAGTATCAATGAATTCACTCATGAGGGGCCAACTTCAGAAGTATGTTTTCATGTGTTGCCAGTGTCTTTGGTGAAAACAGCAAACTATAAAAACTGCATGTCAATGACTATAGTTTTTATACATAAGGAGTTTGCTGGTTATATTTGTACTGTGAGGTATTCAGTGTGAAAATGAAATATTTTTCCTTTCTTCTAAATGCAAGAAAAAATAATTGATGCGCGTATTCATTAATAAATAAATGCGTCTATATTACAGAAACTATTATTTCGTGCATATCTGTCATTTGGGTTCATAATTAAGTCCCAATAATGCATATTCTATTTTTAGCAATACTTTTGTTCAACATTATGACAGAGCTTTTAATACCCACTTCAGTTTTAAGTTTAAACCAACGTGATAGCATATGGCATATGTATAGACTATAGTCAATATGCTAAAAAAAAAAAAAAAAAAAAAAAAAAAAAAAATCTGTGCGCTACTGTATTTTTTCATATCCGAAAATAAATGATATACATGTTTAAGCCTGGATTCTCACTAAGTTTACCTTTATTATTTAACGATAAGCCCGCTGTTGGTCTTTAAATATTCTAAGTTATTAGACTAATTGTGTATAGAGACCAAAGGAGTTAGAGTCCTTAATTCTTGGATGCATCTGTTTATGGCAAACTGACTGTCATATCCAGAAAAAGTATAAATAGAATGGCAATGAGTATTTTTTGCAAGATTTTTGATTTCTCAATAACCAGAATGAATATGGAATATATCCTTTATTTCTTTAACAATTAATGAAGAAATTACTTACGACAAAACTTTTTTTTACTACTATTTCTCTAAAGAAAGTCATATTTTCCTCTTTCATTCTACCCAATTTGTTTTTCTCTTCATGTGTAGGTATATATATAAACATATATACATATATATATACACATACATAGGTACACATATATAATATACTATATATATATATATATATATATATTATATATACTATATATATATATATATATATATATATATATATCTTATATATACATATATACATATTATATACATATATAACATATATATATAGATATATATAACTTATATATATATATATAACATATATACATATATCATAAACATATATACACATACACATTATATTACACATACACATATATATAACACATACACATTTATATATACACCATACACTATATATATACACATACAATATATATACACATACACATATATATATACACATTACACATATATATATACACATATATATATAACATATATATATACTATATATATATATATATATATATATAT